CTTGTAGATCAACTATAATTATATTAGTGAAAAAAATATATATATTTTTTTGCATTTTTTATAATTGAAATTGCCAATAATATTTTGATATGAACCTTGACCAATGTGAAAAAGAGCTGAGACAGTGCATTCATTAGATAACAAAGTGACGCCAACTATATTGTACATATTCCAAAAGGAAGTTTGTGCAGAACTTTTCTCATAATGGTGTTCACGCGGGTAAATCTCGATCCTATATGAGTGGGGAAAAATCACTGTATCAGTATTGGGCAAATACCGTATTTTTCAGCCTATGAATCGAGTTTTTTCGCATAATTTGTATGCCCTGCGACTTATATGCCGAAGCGGCTCATTTATGGATTCCCCCCCCCCCCCCCCATATTTATAATCCAATTTTTGGCTGAGATATGACCGTTTTCATTCATTCTGACTGAAAATATTGAACACTACCATTTTCAGTCGCTAGATGGCACTGTAGTTGAATGGTATGCTGTTGTGTCATGTAATAGGTAAAAGTGGCCATTAATGACACAATTGACTTGCCATACAAAGCCACCTTCGTCCAGCTCGCCTGCAGCAACCATGAAATCAGCTTCAAAGTATTCGCTGCCTCGGTGCAGCGAATACTTTTGAAATGCAGCTGATTTAACCATTACAGTGCATTTATTAAGTAAAAGTTCAACTGAGACACACCTTTACTATAAAGTCAAGCAAACAAATAACTGTTTTAGGTGGTTATCTTGTTAAAATTTAAAGAAATGCATAGCGAGTTGTCCCTCTGTGCACTCCTACTTCAGCGTATTGGCTTTTGAAGTGCAGCGGATTTGACCGTCAAAGTGCATTTATTAAGGTTAAACTGAGACACACCTTTGCTATAATTTAGAACAAACAAAAAATTGTTTTAAAGTGTTAATCTTGTTAAATTCTTGTTAAAGTCCTTCCGTGCATGCTCCTGCAGCTACCATTCGGCAGCCAATTGATTTTTGGCACAACACCGGCCCACATTTCCGGGTTGTCAGCGGTGACGCGTAATAGATGCGACTTATACGGGGAAACAACATATTTATGTAATTTTCCCCTTTATTAAACTTATTTGGACTGATGCAACTTATATGGTGGAAAATATGGTAAATCCTGCTCGCTACGTACATTTTTACTTTTGAGCAATCCAGGCTGAGGAAGTATGCAGCTCCAAACATATCAACCCCAAAGTAAATATTGTGTAAGCTGTTATTTCACTTACTTGTTTTATTTCAGCTGCTTCCTTCTTCGGGAGTCTCCACAAGCCTACATGAAATATTTGGCGTTTGTTTAACACCAGATGCCTTTCCTGATGCAGCCTGGGCTTGAACCTGCAGCTTTGGGATAACAAGACCACAGTACTGATCACTGAGCTACAGCAGCCCCATTATGTCCCTTAAGTAGTGTAGGTTTGTTTGGTGGTAGTGTCAGGATTATGTTTAGGAGTCTGATTTAAGTTCTTAAAAGGTTTTCTAAAAACCACATTAGTCCCATGTGTAACATTTTGTTTGTCAGCTTTCTAAAGAGTGGAGTTAGTTAAGTAAACTTCAAAGTTAGTTTCTCAGTAACATTTCCACAACACTCAACGTGATCTATATTTGAAGATGTGTTTGAGAGAAGCAGTTTTCATTAATAATGCAAACATGGGGGGGGGGGGGGAAACTGTCTTTGAAATGTTCCTCATGGAAACTGGCAAGTTTTATGTCTTCTTTGCTGGAGCAGAAATATTTGGGACCACTTCAGCGTTCTGCAGAGCAGCAGCTTGCTGCAGGTTTTAGAGTGAACAGTGGTGAACATTGTATTCTCCTCCCCTTCGGTCATCCTCCTCACAGAGACTCTCAGAGGCTTTAAACTGCCAGGGGCCTGTTAGTTTTGGTCTGACATTAATGCCCATTTTTCCCATAATGGCTCTCTTCTCATGCCAGCAAAACACATTGAAATGGCCTCTGTATAATTGCCATTTGTGGAGTGTGCTGTAGGTGTGACTCACATTCTCTCTGTAAGTACTCAGCTCGAGGATCAGCAGCTATTTCCAAACTGAAAGGCTGCTGCGATGTGATCTGTCACCAACACCAGCCACTGTGTCTTCTGGCTATTTTCAAATCCACAAGTGTGTCCAGCACCAACAATTAAAAGTGCACCTGCTGTGATCTTAGCTCTATTCTTTCATTACGGATCAGCAGCTGCAGGGACCCTAATTAGTTGTGTTGGCTTGCTGAGAAAACGAATGGGCACTGATTTGGCCTTGGGGCCAAAATAGGATTCCCAATGGCTCACATGAGCATGCTTCTTAAAGCCAGTATTGGCAGGGAATCCCTCTTTCTAATTTTCTTTCTGTTTATAGTCTTCAGTTATCAGCTGCATTCTCACATTTGCCCATTATAACTTGCAAGCTGATTGACTGTTTGTTGCTCCTGGGCACAACATTTTGTTTTCCAAATACTTTAACATTTGTATTTCTATCATAACCTAGGGAACAACTGGGGTCTTGTTTTACGTTTTCCAATTAAGCCTTCTGTTCTTTGGATTGATTTGAATTGACTAAGTCCACCCGCTTCAAAGTTGGTGTAATTTTAAAATTTAAACAGCCTCAAATGGTCATAAATGAGAATCACAATTAAAGAAAACGTTGCCATTTTTTCACAAGTTGACATGATTTCTTTGAGTCCTAATGACATATTTTCAACATATTTTGGACAACATACCATAAAGACAGAGCTCCACAATTCTTCTTTTAGCATCTAATTTATAGAATCAGTTTTAGTGGGTGGAGTAAGCCACTTGACAACACTTCACCTTCTCTTCACCTTCAGATTTGTTCTACATTCACTTGAGGCAGCATGTGGATACAGATTGCACTTGATAACCCCTAAAGCTTGATTTTACTGTGAGAGGGTGTCGTAACTCGCCTGAAAGCTAAGGGATTTACAGTTTCCTCTGACTTTTGAAATCTCCTCAATTAAAAAGCAAAATATCTCCAGGAATCAAAAAGAAAACCACTTACCTTATGGTGCATTCACACCAGCCCTGTTTAGTCCACTTTAATCGAACTCTAGTCCATTTCCCTAGAAAGTCCAGTTCATTTGGGGAGGTGTGAATGCACAAGCGAACTCTGATGCGGAACAAAAAAGCAAACTCCGGTCCTCCAAAAAACCTAGGTCTCGGTTCAGTTGAAGTGAGCTCTAGCACGGTTCGAATGCATTGTGAATGCAAGCGGACTGGAGACCGCTTCAAAAGCAGGAAGTGGACTACAGCGCAGGGCATTCTTTGTAAATACAAGCAAAACAAACATATATTTCTCATACCTCATACAGTGCTGGCTCAGACGCCTTGTGTGAAAAATAACATTCTCCATGGTCTTCTGCCTCATCTTCCGCTCATGCTGAGTTCATTGTTGAAAAAAATGTTTGTTTGGCACATGAGTCACAGATCAAACAGAAATCCTAAAACTGTTCAAATTTGACGCCACTCCATTTTTGTTTTTTAATTTCCACAAGTACAGTGTAAGTTGCGCTCAGTGTCTTCTTCAGAGGTTTTCGAGTCTTTTCCTTCAGTAGTTCTTGGTGCATCGCCACCACAGGCGAGGGGGTGGGAACAGGTTGGCTCGATTGACTCTGTGCAGTGTGAATGCAAACCACACCAGATGAAAATGTAAACAAATTTTCCAAACTTTGTTCCCCAATTGAACCGACGCTATCAGGTGCAACGACCTTAGATTCAACTTGCTTCAGTACTCTCCTGCAGTCCCACAGAGCAGTTGTTCCTTTGCTTGATACTTTTGTTATCCTTAGCCATCTTGGTTTAAGTTAGGAAAACATCATCACAAACAATCACTAAAATAAAATCACTTATAGCCTGTGAATAAAGTAACAGCTAAAAAATACTTCCATCTCATATAAGTTGTGCTGCAAGTTGTGGTGGATGGACCTAAATGGCACAGGAAGGAGATAACTAAAGACTTTATTAACAAAGCCAAAGGACTTCCAAAATAAAAACTAAAATCGTAAACATAAAAGAGCTGACAATAAACAAGACTGTGTGAATGATAAAGGGCAAAAACAAATACTGGGATGAATGATAGGTGAGTGAATACGGCTGAGCATGAGGAACAGATGGTGAGGTAATTAGTGACAAGACGCCAGATACTGAAGATATCCAGGGACAATGGCAGTAAACAATGAACTAAACTCAGATTAAAAGGAGAAACAAGACCTAAGAGAGATAAAGCCCCTTCAAAATGAAGCAAGAATAACAACCAAATAAATACATATTTTTTAATTAAGCCAACAAAGCCGAAATGTTGTCACAAACAAGGGAAATAAACCATAGATCATCACAGGATACATCAGCCTGCACACCTCTTTTTCACTTTAAACTTTCAGAGGATGATGAACCAATAATAATATTTGTCACTTTTCACAGACTCCTACTTTTAGAATGACAAAGGCGGATATTGTATTGATACCAAATGCTTTTTAATTAAATGCAGGTAAGAACTCCAATTTTCTAGTCAAGATGCTGTGACATTAAACAAAGTGCCCCTATATGTTTGTTCATTTCTTTCTTAAGAGAACTATTAAAACTGGTAATGAGAGTTTCCTACGAAACGACAGCAAAACACTTCTGACTTCTGATACAATACAGTGTGTCTGTGTGGCATGATTTTAAGTTAAAGTCATGGGAAAATAAATATGGAAAGACTTGAATTTTTTCCTTTGAGTTGGATCTGTACCAACCCTTCTTGCGTCCGACTGTATGACTTTTTTTTTTTTATTGGGTGCTCTAAAGGAGTTTTTGAGTCAGTAACATCAAACACAGAAACCCTGTTAAAGTTCTTTTTTAATATTATTATTTGTGGAGCAACTTTACTTCAGAGTTTTGTAATGCTGTTCCAAAGCCCTGCTTACTCTTTTTTTTTTCTTCCTCTTCTTGTTCACACTTCTCACTTTGACCTATGTCTCCTGTTCTGTCTGTTGCAGCTGGGTACAGAATGGACCGCTCCAGGCGAGTTTACCAAGTTCAGGTCCCAGTCCTCCAAGTCTGTGCAGTAAGTACCTGTGACATCTGCCCACATATCCTAATAACACATTTATTTGACTCCACCACAAAGACCAGAAAGGGCATATGTGCAGTTCTCCACTAAAGAATCTCTCAGGACAGATCTTACAGTGTGTCCTTGGCCATCTGTACTTTGTTTACTGTTTTATTCAACTTCTATGTGTCTGTGTGGGGGGTGGGGTGGGGGGTAGATGGCTGCTTCAACCCATTGATCACAAAACACACAAAAATGGCTGCAAATCTGTCAGTTTTACACATATTGGCCTGAAGGTTGGTGTGGTAGTAGCTGAGACTGACTTCTATCCTGAGCACTAACAGTGTGTGCTCAGTCTTTGTGCTTGATGTTGCCATGAACCTTTTGGAGCCAACTCCATGTGTGTGTTTTTGTTTTGTTTTTTAGTAAAATGCCTCATGGTGGATTTTAATATAATATAAATAAATAAATATTTGATGTGCATCTACAATTTATTAACTTTTGGAGTCAATCAAAAAGAAGACGGCTACCATATCAACATTAGCCAACGCAAAAATGGCTTTAGTTCAATGAGTTGTACAGATGTTGAGCTACAATTTGCTGTGGAAGTTGTTGACATAAACTCTAGTTTTTGCAGTATTCCATTAGACTGTGCAAAGTGTTATTTTATTGTTTAACTAAAATGGCTACAGTTTTGTTATTTCTTATATATGCTGCTTGTTCAGAATCAGAATTAGCTTTATTGTCATTGCACCAAAGCACAACAAAATTACATTTCAGTACAGCCCGTCTGAGTAAAGCACAAACAACAGACATGTGGAGACAGAGTGTCTGAGGCTGCGACCTCATGGGAGGCACTGCCATTTTCATTAGATAGGAAAAGAGAAACACAGGAGAAGGGGAGGTATAAAAAAATAGTATCTCGCATTGTGTCCTAGACGGGACACAGTGTGAAAGTTACAAAAAAAGACCTCAGCACAGAAACAGCAACATACTGATGACATCATTATACATATACGCATGAGGAAGACTGACGAAAGCAGTGAGTTTGTCCGTGGACACTGCCAGATAGTCCCCATAGTCCTGATAAGAGATGGTGAAGTGTCTATCAGCCTGCTCAGCTTTGATACAGGTCCACAGATGTCCTCAGGAAGGGAGTGAGGTAGAGGGGGGTAGAGTTCACAGGACAAAGAGCAAAGCAGGAGGGAAGCAGGAGCTGGAGGGAAAAGTGTCCGCCTTCATCGAGAGCATGCAGGAAAAGTAAATATTGTTAAATAGGAAATGGAAATTGGGTTTCTTCTGTGAGTTTTGTCTGTAGCCTGATGCATCATATGGCTTGAGCATAAGTCCTTTAAACAAACAGGTATCGTCACTTTTGAAATTAATTAGCAAATTTTTGCAAAAGCCTTTTTATGTTTCATCAACACCAACAACTAATCGAACTGACAAAGGCTTTCACATGGAGACGTTGATAAATCAAACCTTTACTAAAGAAAGTTCTCAAGCATCTACAGTAGTCTCATTTGGTGACTTTTATCACATGTGAAATTCATCCCCATCTGGCAGATCAGTTCAAATGGCTTCACTACAAACTCATATGATAATGCAACGAGTAGAGAAGCCAAAAGCCCACGAGTTTGAATTGTGCACCTGGGATCAGCAAAACAGAGCGAAAAGCAGGCTGTATTGAAAGAGGGGGACTAAAATACAGCCTACAAAGTAAAAAGTCCATTTTTATTTAAAGTCGATATCTTTTGGTGACTGAAATAAATAAAAACATGCAGACAGTTTGACAGAGGAAGATGCAGGAGGTGAGAAGAGATGGAAACAAATAATTTGCTGTTGTTGAGAGCCCTAACAGGGCAGCTGACAAAGGAGGCTAAAGAGTGCTCTTGTACAACGTCGAGTGTGCAGAACTGTTTCAGCTGAAAGAGCTCTTTTGCTGTAAATAAGAGATGAGAAGGTATTAATATATCCTGTCCTCTCAGATTCAACATGCTGCTCTCTGTAATTGCTTAGTATTAGCTGTCGTAAAATACATCCAATAATGCAGTTGATCCGACTGTTTTGTTTTACTAAGATATTAACGATCATAGAAGAGAAGAGATCCTAAAGACGAGACTTGTAATGATACGAGTCCATACATTCGTAAATGCAGCTCAAGTTTCAAAGTGCCGCATTAAATTTTACTCAAAGATACAGTATTAGAGAGACATTATATCCTCTTTGTAGTAAAACATAAGATTTCTTTTTGTAAAATAACAACATCATTGCATGCAACTCTCTTTGGAAATTGCAAAAGAAACAAATCTATTGATGGGATCACTGGGATCAGTCAAAGCGCACCAATATATTGTGTCAACTGTGAGCAGGTGATGACATCTTTAGCAGCTGATGCTTAAATGGTTAAAGTAACCTGTTAATACTGGAGATGCTCAGGTCAGTTTGCAGGAACATCCCATTACTGAAATACATGACACACAAAAACGAAAGTATATGGACAGCTTTGAGTCCTAATGGCCCACAGGCTGATGCTTTTTGTTTTTATTACTGCAACAAGTTCCAACTGTAGAAAACAGGCATTGATGGAGAGCAAAAATGAACAAAGTAGATATAATCCACGTAAACACAGCTGTTTTAAAAAATGCTATAATGTTCGCTCACGCAATAATATCCCTGACAGAGCAGGTTGCTTTCCTTCGGCTCTGGGTGGACGGAATATGAATTATGGGCTCATAGATGCAATGAATATTTTGTGGCTAACATAATTATTCCTGCCACACACATACACACACAGTGTTACACTCTGGTTGTGTAACAGCTTTGTGTCTTCATATTATGTGATAAATGTTCATCAAATACATCCAATTATTTTGTTTGCACATTTTTGTAATGGACGACTTTTTTTTAGCATCTTAGTAAGTATTTTTATGAAACAAACTGATTTGATGTAATCCACTTATTACTTAGTTTACACATAAGGAAGATGAAAATATACAATCTTTTGTCGTTCTAGAATAAATGATAGGTTAAGCCAAACAGATGAGTATCATTTACTTTGCATTTGTCTTTTCTGGGATACAATAAAACCAAACAAAAATTAATGTAAAATACCAAAGAAAAGCATGTGGTTGAATGTTTGTTACTATTTTTTCTCCTCCTGCCTGACAAGCATGTTGCATTCTCTGAAAATAACAAGACGACAACAGAGCAGCGAAGCATGAAGACAGAATATGACAGGAACATAAAAAAGGTTGTGCTGTGGATAAATTTAGGTGTGACATTGGAAGCATCGTGAAATGTTGGAATATGTGTGTTACTGTTTGTAAGGGTTTGTGAAGACCCTGCTGAAGAATCTGCATGTGCTGCCTAATAACCTAAATGGAAATGGGGTTGGGGGGGGGGGGGGGTGAAATACCCTTTAGGAGAGGCGTCACGGGGAAAAGATGTGCCAAATTGTTCCGCATTTGTAAAATGTAGATGTTTTAGTTGTCTTTTTGTTTCAGTGTTTTGAATTAGTTTTAATTAGTATTCAAGTTCAAGTCCAAGTCAATTTAATTGTCATTTCCATCACATGTGCTGCATGAGGTGGAATGAAATAATGTACATAGAGTCCCAGCTACACCCAAAAATAGCAAATTATAAAGTATAAAAAGAAACAGTAAATAAGGATCTAAGATATACTCTAAGATATACACTAAACAAACGCCAAACAGTATGCTAAAAAATCTAAGATATACGCTAAACACTAATAATGTTAAACAAGGTGGCATAAAAACAGCAGCCTGAACATGAGTCTGTGGTGAGCAGATAGGTATGAACGAATAAAGCAGCATGAGATAATCAGCAGTATGAGGTCAGCAGCATAGATAAGTCACATATCACCAATTAAAGTGCCATTACAGTGATTTTTCATTTTTCCTTATTTTTTCTTACAGTAATAATCCTGGTTATTAGGGATTTATTAGTCTAAGAGCTTCAGTGTAGAAGTTGTTCCTCGGTCTAGTGGTTCAACACGTAATGCTCCACAACCTCCTGCCTGAGGAGAGTGGGGCAAAAAGTGTGTGTGAGCTGGGTGAGTGGGGTCCTTCATGATGCAGGTGGCTCTCTTCCTGCATCTGGAGGTGTAGATGTATGTGATGGTGGGGAGGCTGACTCCAACAATCTTCTGCGCAGCCTTCACCACTCTCTGCAGAGCAGTTCACAGATGAATGAGTATCCTCTTGTATCTTTGGAAATCCTAGTTTAAGAGTTTAAAATTATTCTACAAATAGGTTGCCTAAATTTTAAAGATGCGTAAAAGCTTTTTTTTTTCTTTCAAGTTGTGACTTTACTATTTTCCAGCCTTCATTGTGAAACTGCTCCAGTTCGTTCTGTGAATAAAATGTTTTACATGTGGAGGAGTGAGTGATCTCGATATAACCACAACTGAACACTAACATATCATGCAGTCAGCAGATGTTGAACATTTTACACTTTAACGTATAACAAGTATCCTACCTAGTTAATAAGTGTTTTTGGTACCCAAAATAAAACAGTTTGGAAAATTGCTTTTGTTATAACTCGAGTCAAATTTGTGTGTGTTTTCTTACGACTCACCATCGCTCGCTTAGGGGAAGTACATCAGTGTGAACGACAAGCTTAAGATAATTAGGAAAGACTGATGTGATGTTTGCGTCTGGGTGTTGTGCAAAAGAGCATAATTGTAATTCTGTATGCCCATCTCTGTGCATTTATCGTGCATGTGCTGAATGCAGTGCCAACTGAAAATTGTTTAATTAGCAAACTGAAACAACCCAGTGCCAATCAGTTTACGTGTTATCTCACACCTGGGTTGTGTGCCTTGATGCACGCAAACAGCAAAAACTGTTGCACGTGATCTGTTTATAAAAAAAAAATTATGCTCCAAAAAATGACACATAACTCAACCATGTTTAGTGGCAATAAACTTGTTAAAATGTGTTCTTCTGATTTGATTTGATTTGATTGGATGGAACTGAAATGAGCAAATTAGC